GCACCATTGATTTTGTCAGTTGTGGGAAGTCTCTGGCTGTTTGAGCCAACAGGAGCTGGGGGGTGTCAGAAAAAACGACTCCTCCCCGAGAGGCGATTCACTCTCCCTGCAGCACGACACCAGTTAACACAGGGGTTCACGTGGTGCTGACTGCCCCTGCCCAGGGGTCAAGCCAGGGTCTTTGGTCTTTCCTGCCACCGTGCCCCCCTTCCCCAACACAAGTGCGGTGCTCATGGGGAAGGGGAACGCATGTGGTTGCTCTCCAAGGTGCTGGTGGATGCAAGGAGGGGCCCAGCTCCCACCCCATCCCCAGGCCAGGGCACAGGGCCTCTCCAAGGGCACTACGAGGCCCTTGAATGATGCTGGCAACAGATCCCAGCTTGCGCAGGCACCATGTCCCCAGGCTTCCTATTCCCTGCTCCCAGGCCGGCACATCCATGTTCAGCCCAGGTGGGACCAAGCCAGTGCCAGGAGGATGTTGTACGGTGGTCTTCCAGCCCCTCATCTCACCCATTGCTCCCCATGCCTCCCACCCTTGCCCACCACAGCAGCCTACATGACAGCAGTCTTATCTACCCCTGGACCCCGCAGCATTTGCAACCGCCCCTGGCCCTTGGTGCCTCTACGTCCCTTCCTCCGCTGCGTCCCCAAGCCTACAGCCACCTCCAAGTAGTCCCCCACCTTCCTTCCCATCACCACCCTCCGCTTACCTCCTAGCCTGGGGTCCCCCAGCATCTGCTCACTAGGCATGCCTTCCCCTTCATTTGCATAAAAGGAGGCGGGGCAAAGGACTTCCCCCGTTGGCAGCCTGCGCTCTCCGCATCCGTGTACCCTCCTACAGCGCTAAGTCCTGGGCTAAAGCTGCTCCTCCTTAGACGCCATCCGTAGGTGCGTGCCCGTGGCTCTGGGTTCTCAGGAGGGGTCTTGCACTGCTGGCCCAGGGCAGCTGAAGGACCACAGCAAATGAGGCAATGGTGGGGGTCATCCCCTCTGCTGCCTCCAGGCAGCAATGCCCCATGCAGGCTCCAGTTCTTCCCAGCAGACGCGTGCATGGGGGATTCGTTCCAAAGCAAAGTGCCAGCTCCCTTCCCCGCCTACAGGCAGGTTGCACTAACAACCCTGTCTCTCTCTCTCTCTCTCCCTCCCGTTCTTTCCACTTGCAGTACAATATCTGGCATGGAGCTCAGCCAAGACGGCTTATAACAACAGCACGTAGGAGCGTGTGAGTGCAGAGCGCTTCCGACAGAGAGACGGGGCCGGCTGCGCAGCCGGGGCTGCTGCTGTTCGCACCTCCCGTTCCAAATGAAGCCCTGTCTCTGGGGGAGGCTGTTTGCGCTGAGCTCCACAATCGTGGGTGGACTGGAAGCCAAATGAGGGAATCTTGATGCAGAACGAGCGCTGTTAACCCTGTGGTAACGTGCCCCGGGGCTCTCTGCTCCCACCGGCTCTCCTGCGTGGTAGGAAGGGTACGGCTCTTCCCGTAGGCTAAAAACAGTCCTGCAGAACACAGAGCTCGCCCTCTTCTCCTTCCTAGCCGCACGGACGAGGACCACAGAGGCTGTAGTCGTCATGAAGAAGAAAACAGGGAATGGGAGGGGACCAGAATCGGCGCTGCACCAACAGAGAGCCAGGGTCATCACCAAATTTGCTGAGGTGAGATCCCGGATGGACCCTAGGCCCTTGTTGCTGTGTTCAGCCTTTAGCGGGGTTGTGGCAGCACCCAAAGGCACTCTGGTTTTAGGCCTGGCAGCCTAGAGGCAAGGCGTGATGGTGTGACAGCAGTGAAGGGGTGGGGTATCTGTCTTTCTAAGGGACATCCGTGGCCCCCGTTTCCATACTGTGTCCCTGAGAGTCAGCACAGGCTTCCTGAGGGGGGACCAAGGCCCCGAGGGATGCGATGATTTGTCCGTGCTCATGCAGGCAGAGCTGGGGACTGAGCTCGAGTTTTCCAAATCCCAAGGGAGGGAGGGATTGCTTCCCCTTCCTTTCCCCCAAAGCAGGAAGGCAGGAGATGGGATTAAAAACTGTATGGCCTGGAGCAAACTATTTCTCACCCCGGCTCAGTTTTCTCCTAAGAACAGGGTGTTGCTTCACTGCATCTGAGCAACGGTAACACAGGCAATCATTTTCACTAAGTCCAACATGCCCTTATGTTTTTTGGGCACTCCTCTGTCTACCCATATTTGCCGTGGGTGCTGAGAAGCTGGAGAGAGCAAGTGGCAAGGTCTCAGTCAGTCTCCCTTATGCTGTGTAGCTGGACACAACTGCCCCCTTTCCCCCCATCCTCTCCCAGAGGCTACAAGGCAGCTGGCATCCTTCATGACGCCAGTGGCAGCCCTTCTCCCACCACGGTTATCTGTTCAGGGGTTGCTCCAGGAAGAGCAGAGCAGTGACCTCTCGTACCTGGAAGAAGGCCCCTGTGGGAAGGTATTAGTGGCTGCGAGATCAGCAGTAACCATAGCAATGCAGAACTCGCTGTGGGTAGCCAAGGAAAAATCAGCTGTTAGCCCAGCCCTCGTCTTCCTCCCTTTGCCAAGGCCACTTCTGCAATGCAATGCCTTTTGAATGAAACTGCGTCTTATTCAGCTCTGTCCCAGTTCATCCCGAAGTAGCAGAGGGATGCTCAGGGTTATTGGGGCAGGGCTGCACTGACGTGGTCTGTAATGGATGCTGCAACCTCTTCTGTAGAGCAGCCACTCCAACTGCTGGATGCTGACTCCTGCTTTACCAGCCCAGGGACCTGTTTCCTTCTGCCCTCCTGGCATCCAGGCGAAGAGTAAGCCAGGCTGATAGAAGTGATAAATCACACCATGTGTTTAGGGCTAGTTATGCCACGAGGCAGCTCCACTTGACACACAAGAGCGTGAAGAGCCTCTAGCTATTTGAAGTGACTTCTGCTGTCCGCTCTAGCACATGCGCAATCTCCAGTCAGCATTAGCGTTGGGGCCCATATATAACATTCAGATCCATGTTCAGATTTTGAAATCAGCCCTCTCTTCCCCAACCCATGAGCCTGAATGTGCCTGAATCTGGAGTAACGGATCCATGTGGATGTGCGTGTAAGAGTATGGGGCACTTGGATTTCCTGTGCTGGTTCATACAGTCTCCCAAATACCTGGGAAATGGCTTCTCAAGTAGTTACTGCTAGCTGCAAAGTGATGGCAGCTTCTGTGTCCTTTGGATGGCAGGGACATTTTAGGTGGGAAAAGTAAAAGAGGAGGATGGGACTTGCCTCACTCCAGGTTACACGGCAAGTGGCTGGTAAAGCGAGGTCTGCCAGGTCCTGGTACGATGTCTCCTGGCGCACTAGAAACCTGCGGGAGGTGGAAAGCTGTTATACAGAGGCAGCTAACAACGGGAGGGGGATGAGAAGAGTGGCACTGTCTGGAAAAGGAGGCACTAGCATGTTCCAGCTTGGTTTCACCTGCGGGAAGAACCCAGCCCTACTCAGGCTGGCTCTGCCACCCGCACCCAAAATGGGGCTCTATTTGGCATTTATTAGACTGAAAAGCATTAACCCCCATTGCCTGTGGTGAGACTTTCCTCTTTCCCCCAGTATGTGGGCTCATTCACTGTGGAGGACCTGGAACTCCAGCAGAAGGTGTGGATGATTGAGCAGCAACTCCAGTCTCTGAAGGTCAGGGGACTTTGACCGCTGGGGAGGGGCGGGTTATTCAGTAAACTCCTAGAAAAGGGTCCTCGTGTAACTGGGAGATGCCCACCCACTGAGCCCACAGCTGCTGCTGCTGGGTTTACACCATGGAAAGGTCTCCAACCCCAAGAGATCTGGGAGCAGGAAAGATGAGCTGGTTGTGTGATTTGTAAGAGAATGCATCTGCTTGAAGCTCTTCAAGCTGCTCTGGTACCAGGAGCAGCTTGCTGCATCCCAGAGGTGACCCACAGAGCCCCACAGCTGAGGAGGAGCCCCTTCCTGCCCCTCTACTAGTACTCTGCCTGGCTTGTGAATGTAGGGATCTCAGCCCTGGCCAGCAGATCCCGACAGGACAGGCTGGAAGCCACAAACACCTGCCTTTCCCAGCACAGTCAGGGGAGTGATGACTGAATGGGATTCTCCCACTTTCCCTCTGAATACAGGACTGTCCTAGACGGAGATCTGTCATCGTGAAGTTCAGCCTGCAGGGCCTGAAGATCTACAGTGCTGAGGGGGAGGTAAGGTGTATCAGCGCACAGCGCCGTGCGCGCGTGAGATACAAACCTGTGGAGCAGGGGATCCCAACCCCACCAGACTTGAGGCACCCTGCAGAAAAAGCCAGCTCTTAGTTTTCACCTATTTTTTTGACTACAGAAAAACAACAGAGCAATTTTGCTGCTGCAAATAACTCAGGGAGGCCACAACAGGCCAGAGTGTTTTTGACCCAGGTGATCCCTATTTGCAATCTCTGGGTTTATTTTGTGATCTGTGCACAGGTGTTTGCGGTGCCACCCTGGCTAAGAATCGCTGCTGTAAAGCCTAAAGATGAGGTCCAAATGGTTCTGGATTCAAACCAAGCCTGCTAGGCAATGGGGGGGATGGCATCACCCCTCTAGAATGGGGTTGGGGAGCAGTTCCCTAGCACAAGGGCACAAGTTTCCTGCAGCAGTTGTGGGGTGGTGCTGTTTCTCAGCATAGAGCTTAATGCAGCCCATTGTGGAAGAACAGAGCCAGTCCTCTTAGGACTAGTGGCAGATGGTCTCAAAGCTTGAGTCTGCAGCTGCTTCTGGGGTGGGGACTTACTTCTGCAGTGCAAACACTAGTCTTGGTATGGAAGTCCCAGGTTCAGGCCTTGCTGACAGCCCAAGCAGCGTTGGTTGTGTTGACACAGACCCAGTTGACAGAAGAGACCAGGATCTCCGGTGGGATTCTTCACTCCTCAGCTTCTCAACGCCAGGAAAGGACTGCAGCAGGGCAGTCTGGCAGAGGAAGCAGGGGTTTTCTGGGGGGCTGGCCCTTGCCCTGCTGTTAGCTGCAGAGCCCATGTTCTCCATCCCTTTTCTTTCAGACGCTGCTGATGGCTCATGCCCTGAGACGGATCCTCTACTCCACGTGGAGGCCCACAGACTGTCAGTTTGCCTTTGTGTCACGAAATCCACGCAGCCCAGCTAGCAAGCTCTTCTGCCACCTCTTTGTGGGGAGCCAACCTGGAGAGGTACCAAGCTTGTGTGTGCGTCTAATGGGGCCTGGTTCCCCTGTGTGTCTGGACTGCCATCAGCTTCAGTATTGCCCAGGCTTCAGGCCCCCATGTGCCCTCAGCTTATCGGGGATGCACTTTCCGCTTAAAAGCAGTGTCTCAGTTGACAAGCAGTACCCTGCCTTCTAACTCTTACATGTAGAACTGCAGCAGCTTCATCTATCCACCCCATTGTTACCTACCCCAGGCTACAAACAGAGACAATAACTGCTCCTCGGCATAGCAGTGCCCTCCAGCACTGCTGTCCTCATCCTGGGGGCAGCTCTGAAAGGTGGGCAGGTTGTTCACAGCATGCTTTTCCTTGTTGTTGCCCTTTTAAGCAATGTGCCAATGCCAGTCTGCTCTGGCATCACTTGGTCCATCATTTGCCAGCACCCTTGGCTTCTTGCTGAATAGCCTAACACCTTAGAGGTGGTTCTTCTCTCTTGATTGTTTCCTTACATGGTATCTCGGGGTCAGACTGCCCATATAGCACTGTACCTTGACTCTGTTGAGAAAGGGCACTGTCTCTGACTTAGTTCACACCTAGCCCTGCAGGCCTTCCTCCTGCCCCTGCCTCCCCCATAAGCTCAATGTCTGCTCCTTGAAATCTAACTTGCATGTTAGCTACAGGAGGGATCCAGGAATGCATGTCAGTTAGGTGGGGCACACCTACATCTGTGGGTGGGGAAGAGAGGGTTCCCTGCACCTGGTGAGCTCTTGTGGGACATGGATCTTTGCCAAAGGAGCTCATCAGTGAAAGAAGAGTGCGTGGTGGCCCATCAGCACAGAAACATTCCCAGGCACATGCAGCCCTGTCTCAGTGTCCAGAGGTTGAAGGATCCTCTGGTGTGTCCTGGGTCATCATCTGAGCTGGAAACCAGGCTAGCCTGTGTGGTGGGTCCCAGCCATGGGCGACAGGCTGAAGGGTGAGGATTGCCATGCTGAGCAGCGATGAAGTGCCCTTGATCTCACAGGGGATGGTTTTTCTTCCTGCCAGGTCCAGATCTTGCACCTGCTTCTGTGCCGCTCGTTCCAGCTCTACTACCTCCTCATGCACCCCGAGGAGCAGGCCAAGCCCCCTACTAGCCCTGCCCCGGGGGAGCCAGGGAGGCTGCTAGGAGTGCCCCTGGGGGCCGGAGTGGTGAGAGAGCCACTCAATCCAGAGGAGGTTTCCCAGAATGTCAACGCGCTGGTGTCCTTCCGCAGGCTCCCCTGTCCCACCGACTCGGGCTCCTTGGGCAGCGTGGTAAGTGGGCTCTTCCTTGGGGGGTTGCTGCAATCTGCCTCCCAGACTTTGGGTGTCTTTCCTCCCATCGTTGACCATGCTGAGGGGTGGGGGAGCAAAGGCCATGGGGAACTCTTCCATAGGAGAGGTCCTGTACTGTCATCTATGGGCAACAGCTGGAGCTGCAACAAATGAGCAAACAAGCTGTTGTCCCAGAGCAGGGGGCAGCCACCTACGGCCTGCGGGCTGGATCTGGCCTGCCAACCTGCCAAGTGACTGCATTCGGATCATTGTTCTAGAGGGAAATTGCTTCCTACTGAACTGCTTGGCAAGGCTGGTTCTTTCCTTGAGGCAGCACACTCAGCCCTGGGGAGGGAAATGTGGTCCTTCTTTGGCCCATGACAGCCCTCTGCAAGAGGCTTGCAGCATGTCCAGTCCCCTTTGGATAGAACGAGGATGGGTGGAATGTGAGAAGTGTTTGTAAAGCTGGAGAGAGGAGGCCATGCGGGATACAGAGGGGTCCCAGATGAAACAAAAACCCCGAAGTGCTTCCCTTCAGCAATGTACAAATTAGGTGAGCAAGACTGTGAAGCTCGGTGCTGGTTTTGACCTCAGAGGAGCACCTGTAAATCTGTTCTCAGCTGGCTGTCCTCGGGCTCCTTGGGCATGAACGCCCAGCAGCATCTCTAGCCCATGAGTTAACTGGACCATTTCCATATGATCAGGGAGAAGGGAGAGCCATCCAGAGGGCACTGCAATGCAGAGGAGTGGAACACAAAATGACACTGGAGCTAGTGTGGCTCCTTTAAAGCTAGTTGCTCAGCAGAGTTGGATGCCTTCCTAGTCTCTGCAGACTCAGGGACATAATGGGACTGGAGTCTACCAGGAAGTGTGTGCTAAGCATGGCTGAGCTGGGATGTGGTTTGCCTTGTCCTTTTGTGTGGGGTGCTGTGTGTTCTGGGCAGTGTTTGCCAAACGGAAGAGCAAATATCTCCCACTGGTGATGGATACAGATCTGCTCTGGCTTGTGCCTGTAGGAGAGGAGACTGGAACTGGAGGAGAGGGAGGATGTGGGGAGCTCTCGCCCATGGAATCCATACTGCTCCCCGATCCTGGTGCGCAAGAAGGCAATTCGCAGCAAGGTCATCCGCTCGGGGGCTTATCGGGACTGCAGCTATGAGGTCCAGCTTCATCAGTCTGCCCGGGAAATGTGTGAGTTACAGGGGCAGGGCGGGAGGCACCTGGGGTGGGGAAGGACTATTTAAAAAAAAAAGCAATGACTTCAATTATGTCCATTGTGACTTCTTAATGAAAATACTATGCATGTGGCCACTGTATGCTTCTACAGAGCCAGGAGTGACTAGAGGGGCTGTTCATGACCTACTGGTTGTGTGGATGCTGCTTTGTGTGTAATGGGGGTTTCTTGTCTGCTATGCCTTGAGCAACTGCAGCACCTTCAGGAAGGCAGAAGTCATCTTTAGTCCTTGCAACTAACTACTCAAGGACAAACCTTGGGCTCCTAGGCCAGCTCATCCACAAACAAACCATCTTGTAACGTATCTGAAAGCGTGTGCTCAGCATGTTGTGCTTCCACCTGATGCTACCATACCATCTTGCAAAGCTCAGTTCGTGTCAATTGGAGGAGGGTGGAATGGAGGCACAGAAAGCACTGCATCCTTGGTGCTCCTGGAAGGGACACGCACAGTGGGCAGGGCCTGCTTGGGAATGTGCACCAAACCTGAAAATGCAGTGGTGAGGCTGATATCTGCCCTAGCATCCCCTGCCCTGGATGCCCCTGGAACAAACAGCATCTCTGTCTGTCTAGATAGAGATCTAGAGAGAAGCCATTTTGGGGTTGCCCCCCAAACAGGTTTGGTGGGTGTGAGCAGGAGTGGATGGATGGGATGTACTCAAGAACATCCCTGCTCTGGAGGTGAGGTCTAGCCATACCCTTTGTGACCCAAGAAGCCTGACAACCTCCTGTGATAAATCATGCAGCTACAGGAAGGGGAAATAATATTGTGTTCTCATTTTCCTTCATACAAGTCAGCGGTGAAGACCTGTTAAGAGAGATTCTTTGTATACCAACCTCTCTAAGGCCAGGATAGAGTCCCTTGGACAGGCAGTGATGAGGACACCATAAAAATTTAGGTAGATTTGTAACTGTGCTATTGGGGAAATAACTTGTTGAAAAGTGAGGTTCTGCTTCTTTGATGTCTGCTTGTTAAACCTGCATCTCCTTCTCCTCACTGCAGTTCACACAGGCTGGGATAACAAGGGTGGCAAGAGTAACTTGGTTTACCTGACAGAAAATGAGAGCATCCTGATGGAGAACACCTGGTCTTTTGCTGGGATTGCCAGGTGAGTACTTGGCTCTGCAGGTTTCCTGGCACTTCTAGCATTCACCTGCCTTTTCCATCCCTTATCTCCTCTGTGTTAGGGAGGAAGTCAGCCCATTTTCTGTGGATTAACCCCTCTATTGTGAATGACCTCCTTTTGGCTCTTCAGCCAGGGCTGAACACAGCCCATTCAGCAAAAAAGAAAAGCAGTGACTGCTACCTCTTGAGCAAAAAAACTGTTGGCACTAGCTGGTAGCAGTAACATGGTGTTATCATCTTACATAAGCCAGATGCTAAAGGGGGGCCCAGCAGATCTAGTTAATGCAGTACCTTTATGGGGCAACAAAGCTGAAGAACAATTTGGTGACTGAAAGGTGATGCTCTCCAAACATGTTGGCGCAGAGTTTGTATTGAGTCTTATTTCCTCCATGCAGCAGTGGCGGCTTGAGCCTCTGTGCTGTCTGCCATAATCTTTTTCATCTGCTCCTGTCAAAATAGAGAGAGACCATCCTTGTCAACACAGAGAAAGAGACCTCTGCTTAGGGCCATCCTTAATGGCCTTAGTCAGAGCAGCTGGAGAGGAAAGCCCATGCCTCATTTCTGCCTCTGATTTTCATCTGCATCTTGGAAAAGCTAAAACCTTCCATGTCACTAAATCTTCCTCGCTATATCCCCTGTGTACAAATTACCTGTAAAGCCTGAAGGCCAAATTAGCCTGAAGTTCCATGGCCCATCTTGGGTGAAGGGGACCTGCATGTGGGCCCTTTCTTGGAAGTGGAAGAAGTATCCAACACAGTCTCATCTCACCTGCGTGTTTTGCAGAGCTTGCTCCTCAAGTTGGTCATACCCCAATAGCAGACTCCACTCTGGATGAGTGGACCTATCTCTGGGTGGGGGGAGGATTGCTTCCCAGACTCCCGTGCAATGCCTCTTGTCCAACTTTTTCCCACCTGTCCCACAGGGACTGTGGGATCACGCTCCTGAGGAAAGACGTTCTAGGAGCCTTCCTCCTTCGAGCAGAGCCAGGATCAGCCAATCAGTGGTGCCTGTCAGTGAGAACACAGTGCGGTGTCATCCCTTACAACATCTTCAAAAACCATCAGGGGAAGTACTGCGTGGAGGTAAGGGGGTCTTGGGGGCTGAGTGACTCCATTGCCATCTGAGCTGGTCAAGATTCTTCTCTTTCTGCCTTCAGGCGAGCCGAGTGTTTGTTTGGAGAGTCCGGTGCTATCTACTTGGCCGCTTTAGTGGCCCGTGGGTTCCATCCCGACTTACACGTAGCGTGGAGATAAGTTAAATTGCCTTTGCCCCTTGGTTCCCCACCTGGAAAATGGGGAGTGACACCTCATGCAGATGCTGTGAGGCTTTAATATTACACCACCTTTTGCAGAGCTTTAATATTACACCTTCCCTGAGGCTGCTTGCATCAAGAATCTCATATAATTAAGTCCTCTCAGCAGTAGACACGGCCAGCTAACTTCACCACGTTGCTATGCTTCAGCAGGTTGTGCCTGTTGCTGTGATGGAAACGGCCATCTCTCCTTTCAAAGAGGATTTTGCAGGGGTTGAAGGTGCTGAGCTCAGACCATTGGAGTCTCTGGCTTGCTCATTCTCTATGAATGGTGGAGGTGATTTGCTCTCAGAAGGATTCCTATATGCAGGAGCCAGGCGTGCTGTTGTCCTGTCTGTTTTGTTTGCTATAGCAGGAAGTCAGTCCTATGCTGGGTTTTTTCAAATCCTCTCTCTCTCTCTCTCTCTCTCAACTCTTGAAGCATTTGAACGCCGAGTTCCCCTGCATGGAGGCGCTGTTGGAACATTACTCCGGGATCCAAGGGGGGTTTTTCTGCTGTCTGACTGCAGGCCGCATGAACCACTGCTACGAAGAGCAAGACTGTGCTGTGGAGAATGGCTGGAGGGAGGAGTTGAGTCCGCGACCGACCCAGTGGGTTTGCAGCCCCAGCAAATCTCCAGTAGTCCAACAGGAGCTCGGCTAATGTTTGCTCAGGGCTTTGAGACGTTTCTGGCAGATGCGTGGAATTGTGCTAACTCAGCCCCACTGTCCAAGGTGCACCTATGCTTCCTATTCTGGCCATCCTCGTCTGCTAACCTTTACCTCTCATTCTGTGTTGTGGAGGGTGGGGGAGAGGAAGAGGATGGGTGTTCAAGTTTGCACTTTTAATATTAGCAGTCATTGCTCCAGGTAATAGCCCTAGTATGTAATCTCTGAGGAATATTAACCTGTGTTCACTTTGACATTGGGATCTGTTTCAGGCTAGTTGGGTTATCAATCAGCACCAGTGCACAGGAGCACAGAACTCCTCTTTGGTAGCATTTTACACCTCTCTTTCCACATGATCTAAAGTCTGAGGCAGGAACAAATAGTGCCTGTTGTGTGATCCTGGGTAGTTTGCTCCATGCCTGATCCTGTTTCCATTGAATGGCCACCAACTTCAATAGCAGCAGGACTGGGCCCTTGGCATAGCCACCCATCCACAGCGTAGCTGAATGCAGAGAAAGTAGACCTAGTGAATAGAAGGGATTTGTTTTTACATAGCCCCTTCCCAAAACACAGCTGCCCTTCAAGGTCCTTCACAGTACTTCTTGATGTTGCTGTTCACATTGGAATGGTTGCCATCTGTACAAGTCCGAGTGTGGTGGCTTGTAACTTGGTGCAGGCTGAGGACTGAACTTCAACCTTCAGGACCAAAAGTATGAATCTACTGCAGCTCGATCCGAAGGAGCAGGTCCTATAGCTGAGAGCTGTAACACCCATCCTCTGCGGATAAGTCTCAGGCAAGGACACAAGCTGCATTGAACAGCAGGGTTACACATGCACTTTTCAGAGGCTAAAAAAGATATTTCTAGTACAATGAGACTGAAATATTTTACTCCCTAACCCCAGAACACTTGGGATTGGATGAAAAATGGGCATAAATGGTCAATGCAGCTGCATGCAGGTGGGATTTTACTCTTGCTTTCTGATGTGTTATCTAATACCCTGGAGCCAATTGGCCCCTGAAACTCTCCTCTTAGCAGAAATGTAGCACCTGTGGCAGAGCCAGACAGAGCACTGTAGTAGCTGTAAAGAGTGTCCCATCTCCCAGGCTAGTGAACACTTGCTGGACGTTATACAGGATACTGTAGCAGGGTGGACACTATAAAATCACAGTTATTAAAACCTAGGAACTAACCAAGCTGTTTTTAAAACTACCTTATGCAGAGGACAGGCCAACACGCCTGGACAGGAGGACAGGCTGACAGCAATGGTGGCTGTACAGGTTGCTTATACTTGGGATTCTTCCCTGAAATCGTTTTATGGTTTCTGATCCCATTTGCAATGTCCTTGGTGTCTCCCCAAACTGAACGCTGTATGACAAGGCACTTTCACCCCGCTCCTTTTCTTGTCTAAATGCTTCTCCTCCCCACCTTCATGCTTCCAAACTAGCAGAAGACTCACTCATGTGGGAACTGCCTTCTGTGCGGACCCTTTTCTTGCCTTCTGCTGAGCTGGTAGAACCGGAACCATTCAAATGTTAAACCAGTGCTAAGGACCTGATTCCTCATTCCTCAGAGGTGCTAAGTACCTGCAGCTTCCACTCCTGGTAGAGGTACTGTAATCCTGCACGTCGGCTCTCGCGTAGAAACAGGACGTGTCTGGCTTCTATCTAGTTGTGTCGAGGTTTGTCGACTGAGTTCTGATGAGCTGCCCAAGCTCTTGTGATGAGTTAAAAGGCAATCAGGACTTGTGGTAGAAGTCATATCTTTTATTAGACCCACAAGATTTTTGCAAAAAAAAAAATCTTTAATTGCCAGCTTTCGGGCACAAACACCCTTCATCAGGCATCGGAGAAAAGATTGTAAAATTTTTCCTGAGTAGAAATGAAAGTTCATATTTCATAGGATTTCCCAGAGGTGTCAATAGATGGAAAACTTAATGCCTTCAGCCCATGCCTTAAAACTCTGGATTTGCCAGCCCCTTTGGCAGGCTGGTGCAACAAGCACATGTTTTTGGGTTGGTGTGTTTCTTTTCTTAAGGGTAGTGAAATAGAAATAAGGAGATGATGCAGGAGCAGCAGAACACCACTTGAAAGAAAACCTTAGTTTCTTGATGTGAATTCTGTGCGCGAGATGACTAGCAGCAACGCTTCCACACGCACATCCCGAGTCTGCTTTGCACGATGGGGGTCTAATGTAGGAGCAGCTGCAGCTAAACAACTCCAGGACTCTCTGATTCCACCTCTGTTATTTATCAAGGTTTAATAACTTCTTGTGGTGGGGGGAATGCAGGCCTAATAACAAATCCGTTGGCTACTTTAAAGGGTCAAGTGCCAATCAGACCAAGTTCTCTTTCATGTGGCACAATTTGAGTGAATTCAATGGAATGGATTCACTTTATTGGGCTCCACCACCTCAATAGAAAACATTTTCCACCTACAGGCCCTCTAAAATGTATTCCACCATGCATTCCTTTAGCAAGTAACACCCTCTTCTAATTGCCTTTTACATCGATTAGCTTTAAACTTACAATAGGTAATCAGTAGTCCAGTCTCTTTATTTAATCTTTAAAAGATAGGATTTTCATTTTTTATTTTTTTTTTGGTCAGGCCTTACACAAAGGTCTCGTCATCATCACTGCTTCCTGGACGTTGTCCAAATTAAATAGGTTTCTTCAGAAGGAACGACTTGATTAGAGGTGACAAACTGCAGCGTAGGTGGGCTCAGAGGTTATGAGATAACTTGGGAAGATGCAATTCCCTGCTCTGCTAGGAGATTTCTCGGTAATCTTGTGCAAGTCTCTTTGTATCTCAAGTGCTCATCATTTAAAAGGGGATGATTGCATTCTGCAGTTTTGTTCCACGTTCAACCCCAGATGCGGGGAGCCGAGACCTTGAAAAATGTTGCTTTTTTAAATATTCTAAATGGTCTTCAGAAGCTCCTTGGTTTTCCTTGATGTCTAGTAATAAGGATAGGCTGTGCAGTTATTGAACGCCCATTACTGAGGAGACCCCACTACCTCCACACCCTTATTTCATTTAAAGTTATAAAAAAAAAAGAGGAAAAAAAGTCTCTGATGGTTGCACCAGCCATTGCAGAACAATTTGTAAGCTGTGGGGGACTGAGACCACTGCCGGGGCGGGGAGAGAGCTGGGACAAGGCCGGCAGCTGCAGAGGTTATTGCTTGTGCATTCGGATGGGTGCCAGTGTCTACGGCGGGTAAAATCTTTCCCCTGACAATTGGCCAAGGGGAAATGACACCCCGGAAGAAAGTGGGTCTGGAGGGAACCGGCTTAATGCAGGCTCTGCACAGAACGGGGACGGGCACTTGCTTCCTTCACGTCACTGAGAACAAGCGTGCGTTGGGATGAGCCGCCCCTTCAGCCCGTCGTCGGCCACCAGCCCGCTTCCTGCTGTCCCGCGCGCCCCGTCCTGCTCCGCTCCCGCGCGGTGTCCCCGCTCGCCGTGGCTCTGATGTATTTGCCCCCCGTGGGCCGTGCTGCGCATCTCGACTAATAAAACGACACCCTCGCCGTGCCTCTGCCTTGCTGGCTGCGTGTGTGAGTGTGACCGCGAGTGTGAGTGTGAGCAGGCTGCCTCCCCCCAGCCGCGTCCCTCGTGCCTCTCCAGGCCTCTCGCCCCGCAAGATGGGTGCCTGGGCTGGGGCAGTGCCCTTTGGGGGTCCCTCATGGCTCCACTCCTTTGCCCCTGGACGCGCCGGCGGCAGCAGCAGCAGGGGTTGGGGGGTGTGAGGGGGGGAGCTTGTGGTGCATGGGCTGCACTGCACCCCCTCACTGCACAGCACTGCACCCCCTCATTGTCATCCATCCCCTCACTGTACGTTGCCCCTTCAGCGCATCGTGCCTCCACACCGCACTTCATCCTTACCCTGCACTGCACCCCATTGTCATCCATCCCCTCACTGTATGTTGCCCCTTCAGTGCATCGCACCCCCGCACTGCACTTCCTCCTTACACTGCACTGCACCCCGTCACTGCAGTGTGCCCCCGCACGACTTCATCCCCTCACAGCACCGGCTCCTTGTCATCCAGCCCCTCACTGCACTACTTCCGAGCACTGCG